ATGCCCCTCGTCGAAGACGACGTCGTGGGCGACCTTCACGCGTTGCGTCACCGGGTCCAGGATGCGATACGCCTTCGCTCCTTCTGCGTACCCGATGAAGACGTCGGGCTTGCCGCGGTCATCGAGCTTGCGGAGCTGACCCAACTCCTTGGTGGAGGCGACGCAGCCAAAAGTCTTCAGATGGCTCACCACTGGCATCCGCCCGTGCCAAGCCTCATAGGGGGTCTTGCCTTGCAAGCTCTGAGTCGGCGAGCGATTGAGCAGATGGACCGCCGTCATCACCGCCTCCCCCCAATACTTGCCGACATCCTCCTCTGCTTCAGCAGCGACCGGGACATGGCGACCACGGTCTGATTCCGGCGTTCCACCACGCCGTTCTGCTATGGCGAGTGAGGCGACGAGAAGTGGCGCCGGATGCCCTCTCCTGCGCAGTAGTCGGCGAACTCTGCGACGGTGAACTTGCCGCCGTTGCCGGTGCGCAGCACCCAGAGCTTGCGGCCGTTCTCCTTCTCCGCTGCGGCCTGGACATGCTTGATGGCGCCCGCAGCAGCATCCTTGGATGGCAGCAGGACGTCCCACATGAAGCGGGACGCGTAATCCACCAGCAAGAGGAAGTAGCGCCGCCCGCCCGGAGTCGTCGGTGTCACGGGTCCACATAGGTCGCCGTGAACCAGCTCCAGCTGCTCCTGCGCGCGATACTCTGTTTGCTGAGGAAAGGGGCGCCGGCGCTGCTTCGTCGTGACGCAGGTGTCGCAGAGCTGCTCGACGTGCTTGATCACGGGCATCCCACGCACCATGGCCTCCTTGCCAAGCTTGTGAAGCGCCTCGACGTGGAGGTGGCCCAACCGCTCGTGCCAGCGCCAGGCTTCATCGTCCTTCCTTGCGGCGAGGCAGAGCGGCTATGCTGTCTCAAGATGGAGGACGTAGAGGCGGCTGGGCCCGCGACAAACCTTGACGAGGTCGCCCGCGCCGATCCCAAATCCGCATTATGCCCTTGTCGATCTCCACCTTGGACCCGCCTTCATCGCGTTGCCCGAGGCTCATGATGGAGTTCCACAGCGCCGGGATGAAGTAGACGCCGTGGAGGATGCGGTGCTCGTCGGTCTTCCCTTGGAACACGATGGAGCCCACGCCCTGGATCTCCACCCTTGACGCGTCACCGAATCGCACCGAGCCACGAACAGAGGTGTCGAGGTCGGAGAAGAGCTCACGACGGCCGGTCATGTGGTGGGTGGCACCGCTGTCGAGGTACCAGCCATCCAGCTTGTCCTCGCCTGAGCCGGTGTTGAGGAATGCACGGGCTCGAGGCTCGTCGATGTCGAGGCTGGCGTCAGCCTTGGAGCAGAAGGCATCCTCCTCTATTTCCAGCTCTAGGAAGCCGTGGGCCAGGAAGAGCGCGACTTCATCATCATCCGCCCCAGCGATGTGTGCCACGCCCCCACGCTCGCGTCGAGGCTAAGGGCAGTCCTTCGTCCAGTGGTCGGCGCGATGGCAGTTGAGGCAGGTGTCGTCGCGGTTCGCCGCCGGCGACTCTAGCCTTCTCTCCTTGCCCGCCTCCTCCACGGTAGCCACGGTCGCCGTTTGGCTTCTGCTTCTTGCCGCCACAGGGACGTCGGCGATCCTCCTTGGACGAACTGGACGAGCCAGAGTCGTCTCCACCCTTCTTCTTCTCCTTCTGCCGAGCGAGCCATTGCTCCTCGGTGTACATCAGCTTCCCACCAACGGAGATTGGCTCGGTGGGAGGTTCTTCATCGAGATCATCCACCGTCTTCAATCTCTCGGTGACCTCAATGGTGAGGTCCTGGAAGTCGAGGAGGGTCTCGATCGCGATCCTCAGCTGAGCGTGTACTTCTTCGGCACGGCTCGCAGCAGCTTCTCCACCGCCCGCTCCTCCGTGAGGTCCGTGTCACCGTGGCGAGCCATCTGCTGCTTCAAGGCAGAGAGACGAAGAGCGAAATCCTCAATCTGCTCACCAGGGCGGAAGGCGAGGTTCTCCCAATCCTTGCGCAGACGTTGTAGCATGACGCGGCGGACACGGTCGACGTCGATGCGCGTCGTGGCGATGGAGTCCCACGCCTCCTTGGCAGACGCTTTGTCCGCGAGCGGCGCACCCATCTCCAGCGGTACTCCAGAGCTGGCGTGCCTGCATCTTGACCTTCATGAGCAGACTTCACTCATGGTAGTTGGTCTTGGTCAGCATCAGCCACGGCGTGCCCACGCCGGAGTCCTTGTACACCGTCTGGACGGCCGCAGGCGACCTACGACGGCCTCCGCGTCCGCGACGGTGCTCTGGCAACGATGAAGGTATGTGGTGCCGCGCCGACCTCCGCGATCCTCTGGGCTGCCGCTCCATCTCCGCGAGCAGCGCGGCGGCTATGTTTGCCACTGCTTGCCTGGCCGCCTCAATCGCCTGTGTGGCTGCGGCCTCTGCTGCGGCCAGGCGATGAGCGCGATCGTCGTCCGGGTAGATCACCACCCCTTCGCCGGCGTTGCCGGCGTTGGCGGCTGCACACAGAGCGCACTCGCTGGAGGTGGACATGGCCTAGCTCTCACCTAACCTTGGCTCTAGATACCAATTGTTGCACAGGTAACAATCTAGACAAGTGGAATTTGATCTGCCAGAGAGCAGCTTGGCCATAGGCCGCTTCTTTGTATTAATAGAAGTAGCAAACTTGGGATACAAGAAGGTCTCAACTACTATAGCATATTCTACTGCATAAAGTAGATGCTAGCTTGGATGCTAAGGCATCTGAAAACTGCTAGACAGCCTAGACAGTGAATTAGTAAATAGCTTAAGTATGTAAACTAGATACATTGAGGTATTAGCACTAGGCTTAACCCTCATAAATTACTAGGGAGAGAACAGAACAAAACTTTTAAAGCCCTTTATCTCACATAGGGATTGTTTGTGTGTTCAGCTAACAGCTCTAATTAAACATAAAGTCACACAAATGAGATGTATAAGGCAGATAGAAACACGAAAGACATCAATGCAGCACATGTAGAGGTCCTCAATCTAATGCCTCGCTCGAGTAGAGGTCCAAAATCAGCCAGTCAGCCACAACACCTCTAAATGCCTACGTGGATGAGGCTGGGTAAAACATGCAAAAAAAAATCCCCATCTTTCTCCCCGTCCACTCCCTCTCTCTTCTCTATCCTCTAGTAGAGGAGTCAATGGAGAACTTGAGGGCGTCGACGTTTGGGAGCAGGTTGAGACCCGCATCAAACCGTCAACGAGCAAGGAGCAGATCAGATCAATGGTGTCGTGTTGGATGACGGAGCTAGTAGCTACCAGGAGGAAGGAAACGAACATCTTGACAATGCGCGCTCTTGGCTGGTGGATGCTAAGAATCACGGTGCGGCGCCATGTCTCAATAATGTCAAGGAGTGCGTTGACTATCTGGAGCTCCGCCACCACGGAGCTTTGCTTCCCACCGCCACCGCCTTTCACCATAGCCAGCGCCACCACAGCTGCCACACCCATTGCCTCCCTCGTCCTCCCTGACCGTTCAATTGAGCCGGTTGTGGCCGATTTGGGGCTTCCCTTGAGCTTCGGCCATGCGCCGCCACACGGAACCCCAACACTGGTGGCTCCAGCGACCAAAGGGTCACGGGCCAGCCCTAGCGAGTGTGGATGCCACCTGCACTCCCTCCCCCTTTGCGCGTGCACCTGGACATGCGGCATCACATGGATCAAGATTGCTGACCATCCGGAGCGCAAGGGCACCGTCGAGGCTAAAGGTGGGCTCGTCAAGCATGAGCATGGGTGGGTCATGCACGGCCTCGATGCTCACGGAGAAGCGCCTCCTGGTGCCGTGGAGCCATCGAGCAAGACCACCAGGTGAGGCAGCGGTGACCATGGGCCATACCCATGGAGAGAGAGAGTGGATGGGGAGAGATGAGATAGGAGGGGGTTTCTTGCAAGTTTTACTTGGCCTCATCCATGCTGCCACGACCACGTAGACACGTATAGGTGTCATGGCAGGATTTGGACCTCTACTTGAGCGCAACATTAGATTGATGACCCAAATGGTCATTTTTCTTAGTTGGAGGACCCAAATGAGAACTCATGAAAAGTTTAAGGACCCATAGTGCATTTTACTCTTTCTACAAATAAGGTATGCAGTTCCCAAAGTGCAGTGGAACACTAGAAATAGGAAAATTAAACTTGCTTAATAAATTGCAGAAGTGGTAGGACAAGTGCAATTGGGAAATGATCCATGTAAACATCTTAAATTTGGGAAGTAGGCACTCTGAAACCAGATTAATTTATACTTAGCTACCAGTTCATGACTTCCAATAAAAAATTTCTAACCATATAACTCTTGAACAGTAAGATTGAATTCAGGTTTTGCATTTAGCCCAGTTAGACAAATAACTCCAGTGATTCTTTAACAAAAGGCATTCCAGCACTCCAAACAAAGCTAGGTTTAATTAAGAAGGTTAAACAAGCAAAGCCAGAATCTTGAGTTAAACAAGCAAAAACAATACTTAAATCACAGAATAGGAAAACCCTCCGCTTAGCTTTTGTGCAGTGGAGCAGTGGATCCAAAAGTGAGACACAACAGCAAAGTCTTTAAGTCCTAAACAAGTTGGGGTAGGCTAGAGTTGAAACCCAGCATAAGCAATCAAGATTCAAGCACGTGAATAACTGTTTTCCAAGCACTTCTATCTAAGACTAAGTCTTTAGGTATATTCCATCCTTTCAAGTCTCCTTTTATTGCCTTTACCCAAGTCAACTTCGGTCTTCCTCTGCCTCTCTTCACGTTACTATCATGGCTTAGGATTCCACTACGCACCGGTGCCTCTGGAGGTCTCCGTTGGACATGTCCAAACCATCTCAACCAGTGTTGGACAAGTTTTTCTTCAATTAGTGCTACCCCTAATCTATCACGTATATCATCGTTCCGAACTCGATCCCTTCTTGTATGACCGCAAATCCAACGCAACATACGCATTTCCGCGACACTAATCATATAAAAATATGAATAGAGGGGTACCTTGGATAAATAGTGCATTAAAGTCATCTTATTGTTACGAGCACGGGTGTCACTTAGTTTGAGCAAGCTATCCAACCTGAAACCAACAGCAGAACCTACAAAAAAAACAAAGGGGACCGTACTGCATTCAAGAAGAACAAGAGAAAAAAGATAACTTAAAGAATGACACAAGAAAAAAAAAGGTGACAAATTAAATTAAGTAAATACAACTTGTCATCACAACAAATGTATCAGGCAATAACTAAAGATATTGATCCCTTCAAAAGAAAACTGACCATATTTTTTTCCACCACGGACGAACCGAATTTCATTACTTAACAGCAACAAAATTACAAAGTTTAACCACCCCCATGTCGTTTACCAAAGCTACCAAAACCTGCTGAGTGATCTGAACACCCAGGGTTCAGACAAACAGCACCCCAACCATTCACCAACCTTGCAACCGACACAGAAACAGGCAGAAAACGAACACCTAGCATTTCGCCGTGAAAACAAAAGTAAGATGATTTATTACAAGCCCAGAGAAAACTGATTATATGATGTTGCGCAACCATTTAAGGAAATATTAATTACTAATTAGACTTCACAGCAGGATGGAAAGGTATAGTTAGTAGCAGGTATCAAGTCAGACTAATCTTCATTTGATAAGTGTTCAGTATTAGAGATATGTATAGTCTAACACATGTATATCATGTTACTTGCACCCCAAGTTGTATCTTGACTATATATATGAAAGTCACCCCCCTAATTGCGTGTGAGGTGTTCCCCTAATTCTCTACATCTAATTCTCTACATGGTATCAGAGCTTCAGAAGACCGGCGCTGGAACACCTTGCCGCTGAAACGCCTATCAGCCGGCGCTGGTGCTGGTGCAGGGGGCCGACGCTCATAGGTGAGGCCGAACCGGCCAGTCCTGCCTCGAGGTGCAGCATGGGCAGGACTAGGCGGCTGCTCAGGAGGACCAGCCAGCTGTACTAGGAGGCGAACAGGGCCAGCCATGATGATAGCCGGATCGTTGAGGTCCTGGGGCAACGGCTGCTCAACCTCTGGAACAGAGGGAGCGACCCAAGTAACATCCTGCAGAAGAAAATCAAGTGAAGCCAGCACAAACGGAGTGGCGGCAAATGGAAATACGGACTCATCAAAGACCACATGGCGGGGATATAATCACCCGCCGAGTAGAGATGTCAAGACAACGGTAACCCTTGTGAGAGGTGGGATAACTGATGAAGACACATGGCGTGGAGCGAGGTGCAAGTTTGTGGGGAGCCATGGCACTGAGGTTAGGATAACAGAGGCAGCCGAACACGCGAAGCTGAGAGTAATCCGGTACAGAGCGATGGAGGAGCTGGTACGGGATTTGGTGACTGACGGAAGAGGAAGGGCGCCGGTTCAGCAAGAAGGTTGTTGTAGCCAGCGCTTCAGCCCAGTAAGAGGGCGGCATGGAAGCATGGATCAGCAGCGTGCGGATGGTGTTGTTGATAGTACGAAGCATACGCTCGGCTTTGCCATTTTGTGGAGAGGTGTAGGGGCAGGATAGGCGAAGTAGGACACCGCAACTAGATAGGAAGGAAGACATGGCATGGTTAACAAATTCCGTGCCATTGTCAGCCTGAAAGCATTTAGGTACACAACCAAACTGAGTCTGAGCGTAGGCAATGAAATCAACAAAATGACCATATACTTCAGATTTCTGACGCAGCGGAAAGGACCAGCAATAATGAGTGAAATCATCAAGCATGACCAAATAATATTTATAACCCGAAGTACTAGGAACAGGGGAGGTCCAGACATCACAATGAACTAGAGCAAAAGGTTCTGATGTAATGGAAACTGAACTAGCAAAAGGCAGGCGCGTGTGTTTGCCTAGCTGGCAGGCATGACACAATGAGCGTGCTGTTTTATTACATGTAATAATCGACATGTTTCTAAGGGAAGCGACGACGGAGTCGGACGGATGACCAAGACGGTGATGCCATAAGGTGGACGTGACGACGAGACTGCAACTAGCAGCGGTGGATGGTGAAGCTGGCGAGATGGTGTAGAGGTCCCCGCTGCTATTGCAGCGAAGAATCACGCGTCCTATCCATGGATCCTTAACAGAAAGAAGATTGCGCACAATGTCAGGCGCAACCAGAACGTTGTTGAGATGGAAGGAGGTGTTGGCTGTGGGAAGGATGGAAGTACCACGACTAACAACAGGTATAGAATGACCATTGCCCACAGTTATGGATGAAGAATAAGGAGGAAGGCGGGTGAGTAATATACCATCCGAAGAAGCCATGTGAGATGTAGCACCAGTGTCCAGAACCCAGGGATTAGTACCCTGAAGCGCCATCTGGTCCAATGCCATGATGAGACCCGCCTGGTTCCATCCACCAGCTTGAGGACCCGGCGGAGGAGCAAACTGTGGCTGCTGGAGGTAAGCCGGAGTGGAACTCGGCTGGAACGAAGGCCGTGTGCGCCTGCTGCGGAGGAGGAGGAGGTCCAAGCAGCCCCAGCCCACGCCACGTCGGCTGCTGCTGCAGCGGACGGAACCAAGGCTGCTGCTGCTGCTGGCCGGGCAGTGGACCATAACAGACCCACGGACCAGACTGAGGAGGCATGCGCGATCCACCTTGCTGATGCTGCCATCCACCTTGCTGCTGCTGCCAGCCACCACCACCGCGGCCGCCCTTCTTGGTGTTGCGGTTAGACATGTTGCCGCCACCGCCGTTGGTACGGCCATGGCCGCCTTGTCCCTGTGCTGCACTAAAGCACGCAGAGGTAGAGCGACAAGCAGAGCCGCAGGCAGAGGAGCCAGAGGCGTGAAGGGCGGTCTCAGTGGAAACCTTGCCTTCATTAGCTAGGCGAAGTTCCTTGAAGACGAGCTTCTGGCGTGTGGTGTTGAAGTCGGGCAGCGGCGTGGTGTCCGCGATGTTGTCTGCCGTGCTGGAGAAGCGCGGGTTGAGACCGCGAAGGAGGTTGAGCACCAGCTGGGACGGCGAGACAGCATGGCCGACATCGCTCAGGGCATCGGCGATGGTCTTCATGCGTTGGCAGTAGTCGTTGATGGAGAGGTCCCCCCGCCGCATAGAGAACTCCTCATGCAGGAAGACGGCGCGGGGCTCCTTGTTGGACAAGAAGAGGCCCTCGATGGCGACCCAGAGCTGGCGCACCGACTGTTCGCCGTCAATGGCGAGGTCTTGAACATCGGGGCCAACGGACCCGAGGAGCCAACTGTGGACACATGCATCGTCCATGACCCACTGCGGATCAGCGGGGTTGGCGGGGACAGTCCCGTCAATGTGGCCGCGAAGGCTGAACTTCCCCACCAGAGACTTGAAGAAGGGCACCCACTTGTGGAAGTTCGGATGCTTCAGCTCGAGGACGACAGGGACGTGATTGCGGACATTGATCGTGGCGTAGGGAGCAATGATCAGGCCAGCCGGGATGGAGCCCATGGCGCCAGAGGAGTTGCCGCTGGTAGCTGAGGAGAGGAAGGGCTCGGTCGACATTGGATGGCACAGAACAGAGAGCAAATGAATTCGCTTGGAGGCGTGTGGAGCAGAGGAAGCGTCCGCGTGAAGCAGAGGACGAGCGGGGAAGGGCGCGCAGGGGGGAGGAAAAGGCCGTGAGCGGGCTCGCGAGCTCGGGGCGACGCGCGTGAGATAGCGCGAAGTCGGGGAAGGAAAGCAGAGCAGGGGGTATCGCGATCTCTGCGGGAGATCGCAGCCGCGGGGGTGGACGAGCCGCCATAGAGTCGGCGGCGCGGGTTAGGGCAGAGGAAGAAACCGGAAGGGAACCCGGACTCTAGATACCATCTCCCCAGCTTCGCCATCCACCGTTGCTGGTTTCGTCGACCCGAGGTAAGCCGGAGTGGAGAACTCGGCTGAAGCTCGACCGTCCACCAGCACGGTTGCGTCTACTTCTTCAACTGCTGCTGGTACGACCAGTGCGCCTGCTGGTGGTACGACCAGTACGGCTGCTGCTCCTCAGCCACCTGCACCACCCCCCAGCAGGCCTCCACTGCCTCGTGTTGTGCACGGGCCTTAGCATCCGGCTATTGCTGCACGGACGACTTCAGGGCTGCTGTAGCCCCCTGCACCTCCTCGCCGGCCTATGCAGGGGCCTGCACCAGCCCATCCCCTGCTCCATCGCATGATGACACGCACATAGACAGGTGTTGTGCCACCTGTCAACTACAAGGGCTTGTCTGCAACGTCGACCTCTCCGCTGCCCGCTAATTATCGCAGCGCGTTGGCTGATCCCAACTGGCGTGCTGCGATGGCAAATGAGTATCAGGCTCTTCTCAATAACAGCACATGGCGCCTCGTCCCTCAACCACCAGGTGCCAACATTGTGACAGGCAAGTGGCTCTTCAAGCACAAATATCATGGGGACGGGTCCCTTGCACGCCACAAAGCTCGCTGGGTTGTCCGTGGCTTCTCCCAGCAGCATGGTGTCGACTATGATGAGACCTTCAGTCCGGTCATCAAGCCTGCTACCATCCGAACTGTGCTTAGTATTGCTGCCTCACGCTCCTGGCCGATTCATCAGCTCGATGTGAAGAATGCTTTTCTTCATGGTGACCTTGAGGAGACCATCTACGCACATCAGCCTGCTGGTTTCATCGACCCGTCTACACCTGATTATGTTTGTCTGTTACAGAAATCATTGTATGGCCTCAAGCAGGCTCCTCGTGCGTGGCATCAACGGTTTGCAACCTCCATCTGCAAGCATGGTTTCACTGCAGCGAAGTCTTATGCTTCTCTGTTCATCTTCAAAGATGGAGTGGAGATGGCATACTTGCTATTGTACGTCGACGACATCATCCTCACAGCATCATCGCCCGTCTCAGCTCTGAGTTCGCCATGACAGACCTTGGGGCCCTACACCACTTCCTCGGCATCTCCGTCACTCGGTCCTCTGACGGCCTCCACTTCACTAGTGCCACAAAGGCCTTTGATGGTCTTATTGGCGCATACCACGGTGGGGTCTTCAACTGGGGTGAAGTCGTAACAAGGTAGCCGTAGGGGAACCTGTGGCTGGATTGAATCCTTCGCGATGGAAATGCCCTCGCCTACTTGACTAAACTAAGGACCTCAACGAAAGCTTATGTAGATCGACTGAAAAGACGATTCCATTTTCCTTCTTGTTTATCAATCACCAATCAAGACAAACCGGGCACTACAGTGAGACGTGAAAACACCCAATCCCATTCCGACCTCGATATATATGTGGAATCGTCTTGCGCCATATGTACTGAAATTGTTCGGGAGACATGGTCAAAGCTCGGGTTGAAGCCCCTAAAGGAGATTTCTTTCAGCCAACATCCAGCCTTAGTGGCCCCTCTCTGATAAGGTTTGAAATCAAAACGAAAAAAAAATGACAAATCTGGTCCGATGGCTCTTCTCCACTAACCACAAGGATATCGGTACTCTATATTTCATATTCGGTGCCATTGTAGGAGTGATGGGCACATGCTTCTCCGTACTGATTCGTATGGAATTAGCCGGACCCGGGCGATCAAATTCTTGGTGGGAATCATCAACTTTATAATGTTTTAATAACGGCTCACGCTTTTTTAATGATCTTTTTTATGGTTATGCCGGCGATGATAGGTGGATTTGGGAATTGGTTTGTTCCGATTCTGATAGGTGCACCTGACATGGCATTTCCACGATTAAATAATATATCATTCTGGTTGTTGCCCTTGTCACAGAGACAGTATGTCGTCGACCTTTTTCAGCGGGCCGGCATGGCCGAGTGTCACCCCACGGCGACACCGGTTGACTCCAAGTCCAAGCTATCTGCCACCGATGGAGCTCCAGTTGCTAGCCCTTCAAACTACCGGAGTCTTGCTGGCGCTTTGCAGTACCTCACGCTGACTCGGCCGGACATTGCCTACGCCGTTCAGCAAGCCTGCCTCTTCATGCACGACCCGCGGGAGCCGCATCTTGCTCTGATCAAACGCATTTTGCGCTATGTCAAGGGCACTCTCGACGCCGGTCTGCACCTCGGCATTGGCAGCGTGTCATCCATCACGGCATACTCCGACGCCGACTGGGCTGGATGTCCAGACTCTCGACGCTCTACATCAGGCTACTGCGTCTTCCTTGGAGACAACCTGGTTTCCTAGTCTTCAAAACGGCACACCACGGTGTCTCGGTCTAGTGCAGAGGCGGAGTACCGAGCTGTTGCTCACGCAGTTGCTGAGTGTTGCTGGTTGCGCCAACTGCTTGAGGAGCTTCATATCTCGATCCCTTCGGTGACCATTGTCTATTGTGACAATGTCAGCGTGGTCTACATGACTGCCAATCCAGTTCATCATCGTCACACGAAGCATATTGAGATTAACATTCACCTTGTTCGTGAGAAGGTGGCTTTGGGGCAGTTCAGAGTGCTACATGTTCCCTCAGCTCATCAGTTCGCGGACATTATGACTAAGAGACTGCCTGTACAGTTGTTTAATGACTTTAGGTCCAGTCTCTGCGTCTAGTTCCCTCCCGCTATGACTGCGAGCGGGTATTAGAGATATGTATAGTCTAACACATGTATATCATGTTACTTGTACCCCAAGTTGTATCTTGACTATATATATATGAAAGTCACCCCCCCCCCCTAATTGGGTGTGAGGTGTTCCCCTAATTCTCTACATTCAGTCACCTCAAATGTTGCCACTTAGCACCAATAAGAACCAATATTCCTTTTTAAATGTAAATGTAATGATGCTTACTAATGCCTATTTATCACTAACCGCTGTTCTGTGGGTTATGAGCATTAAGATAACTCATTAGCCAATTATCACATACCCTCAAGGAGAAAAATAGTACTTCACAAGATATCTTGAAAACTAGAAGCATACCCTCACGCGTTGTTGCGGGAATCGCGGATTAGTGGATTGAGTGGCATGTTGGCATGGGCAATAAAATGCTTGTGTGTCTTTGTTGACATGAACATTACAATTACATGTGCTAGTGGATTTTAATTACATGTGATAGTGCATTGTTGAGGTGGATAGCTTGCATGTTGAGATACATAGCTAGTGGGGTTTAGGATTATAAGAGATATAGATATAGATATAGATACATTTAATGGAATTTTACTTCTACATAATGATAACTCAAATATCATGTATCAATCTTCACTGAAATAACACATATCGTGGATGTACCCCGGGAATGAATGACCTTGTTTTTACTGAGTGGTGGCGTCAAGCCTTGCAGCAGGTTGCTAAACAATATCGCAAGGTCTCAACATTGGTCATTTTGGTGGTATGGTGGACATGGAAACATAGGAATGGCTGCGTCTTTAAGGGCACTTCCCCTAATGTCAATAGAAACATGCAGTATGGTGTATGGGAGGGGCCAAAGGTCTAAGTAGCATATGGTGATAACTATTTATGTTGGTCATTGGTCCTTTCTAGTGGTTTCTTTGGTGAGTCTACATGTAATTAACCCTGCCCCACTAGAGATTGTATGAGTCTAGTTAGACTCATTTCCTTCTTAAATATAATGATGTGCAGTTCTCCTGCGCTTTCAAAGAAAAAAAAAATCTGTCATGGATGTGGTTGCAAGGCAACTCTTTTTTACTTGTTATGTCTAGAATCTAAATGGCAGAGACATGATGGTGCACCAGATGCCACCTTGTGTTCTAAAAGGAACAGTGTTTATGGAACTCCTCAAGAAGTATCAATTTACAATTTTGCTTACCTCTGGCAGTGCCTTGGTTCAATGCATTTCCGAGAGAAAGAATTGTCTGCATAATCCTTTTCAACTTGACTGAACCTCGTATCTATGGACATCATGACAAATACATGAAATTAATATCAGGATTTTAATATTAATTTTCAATCAATATAAAGTGCCTACCTCTTCTGCTGAAGAATTAACAATGTTCAGGTTCCGCTTAAGGTCAGAAACCTGAAAATAGTTAGAAAGGGACCAAATATTACAAAGGCAAAGCAAAAAAGTACAGTTCATGATTTGCAAGAAAAGGAACCAGTTGCCAAACCTGGGAACCGAATTGAATCTTAAATGAGAAAACTCTCAGCTTAGATTCTACACGTGGTACTTTCATAAGCTCCATAAAGAACTGCAGCACAAAGATGTACATCAGAATCCAACACATTATTCATAAGTTTGTGTGTCTCGAATCACCGTATTATGGTTTTCATGGAACACTGACTTTCAATGGGAAGCCATCCCACAAAAGGGCATGTACATACATAAGAAGTTCTAACTTTAGATGTAAAGCAGTAAAACAAACTAAAGAAAACAAGTCACCTGCTCACATTCTCCAAGAACTTGCTTATCTCCTTTGTAACCCTGGTAATCATATCCCAAACATTATTGGTTTCAACATATAATAATGGTTTAAAATTAACACCAGACTAGAACCTGAGTGACCTTCCTACCTTTAGAAGTTCAATTTCATCTTTAGTTGGGGTGAACTTAATAAGGTTCTCCACCTGGTCAGCATCCAGGACAGTATGATCCAGAGCCAGAATTGCACTCTGTGCTCCAAAAAAGTGAAAGAAAAATAAAAAGAAAAAGAAAAAGAAAAAGAAAAAGAAAAGAAAAAAGAAAAGAAAAGGAGAGAAAGAGTGTTACTAACAAAGATACTAAGGGATTGTGTGGACAAAGGAACACCACAGATGCACTTCTTAATTCCTTCCAAATTACTTCCACTAGATGCAATTACACACTGATGGATAAGTCTCATGTGTGGTCTTTGTGGGGCTGTACTGCTCACATGGTCCTTGTGGCTGTTTTCTGCTTTTAGGACAGCATCTTAGACTAGAGGACAGCAGGACAGCATCTTAACTAGAGGACAGCATCTTAGCTAGGACAGCATATTAGCATCTTAGACTAGCATCTTAGACTAGCATCTTGGCATATGCTTGGCTGGCTAGCAGCCTATAAATATGTAGCCCCAACCCCTCAGGTTGGCATGGCATTTGTGTGAGTTTGTGTGAGAAATAGACAAGAAAATTGCCCCAACTCCTAGTGTCATCCTCTCTCGATGAGAGTAAGAATTCTCCTACTACCAAGAGTGAGAATTCAGCGACTAACAACTGGTATCGAGAGTCAGTATTATCCTCAGAGCTCGAGCATCTCCTCGCTTGTCTCCCTCCCAGCCCACACAACAGCCCAGTGCGGCAAGCAGCTCCCGCCTCCTCTGCTCACTCCCATGCGAGCAGACGAAAGCAAATGTCAAGCAGCCCTCTCCCCACGCAGCAGCCCCCCAGTGGCGCGTCATGTCCGCAGGCGATCTCGGCCTTCGGTCGCCTCGAGCACGCCAGGCGCGTCAGCGGAGGCCGAACTTGCCATGCGCAGAGAGAACGCGAGCGAAGCGGCGGCAGAGAGATACCGCGGCGGCAACAAGGGCGTCGAGGTCGGCAATGGCGGAGTGGGGCAGCAATGCAAAGCGAGGCGGAAGCGCGGCGGCGGGCGAATGCAGCGGCGTCTGGGCGGCGGAGGTCGAGGTTTCACAGCGCGAAGATCGGCAGCTCCATTTCAGCGACGACACCGCCGACGCGAACCTCGAGCTGCTAGAGAGGGAGGCGGCGAGCGCGGGCGGCGAGAAGCGCGCGCCAAGACGCCCACGAAGCGTGGCGGCAGCCCAGACAGCGCGACGCTACCGACGGCGCTCTGGAGGAGGCGCGCGCGCGGTGGCGCTCTGGGCAGCAGCAGCAAGCGCCCACGAGCGCGCGAGCAGCCGAACGGCGCGACGCGCAGCGGCGGCGCTCTGAGGAGGTGCGCCGCGCAAGCGGTGGCGGACGGGTCGATGGAGAGCACGGCCTTCACAGTGCGGCGTGGCTCTCTCCCGAATCGGTACCGACGGGTCGATGGAGAGCGTGGCCTTCACATGCGCTGCGGGTTCTCTCCCGGATCGGTGCCGTGGTTACCACGGGCTCCAGTCGTTGTCGTGGACGCCGGTCCCGGCGGTGGATGGCCTACCTCACCAAGACCAACTACGTCGAGTGGGCTGCGGTGATGAGGGTAAAGCTCCAGTGCGCGCACATGTGGGAGGCGGTCCGGCACGGCGGCGGCGTCGACTACGACCTAGATCGACGGGCGCCGGATGCTCTCATCGCTGCAGCCCCGCTGAGATGCGCTTCTCGCACCCGAGCAAGCGGATCGCCAAGGAGGCTTGGGACGCCATCGCCAAGCTGCGACGCGCGGCAGCCGACCGCGCCCGCAAGTCCACACTACGAGCACTTCGCAGGAGTGGGAGAACACGCCTTCAAGCCGGTGAGGGGGCGTTGATGACTTTGCTCTCCGTCTCAACACTCTGCTGCGAAAAAGATGGTGCGATTCGGCGACGACACTTACGGCGAGGAGAGAGCGTCGAAAAGCTCTTCCGCTGCGTCCCCGAGAAGTACAAGCGATGGCTCGCTCGATCGAGTCTCTGCTGGATCTCTCCACGATGTCGATCGAGGAGGCGATAGGTCGCCTCAAGGTCGCCGACAATGATGAGCCACGATCCCTCTCTCGGGCCCATCACCATCGGCGGAAGCTCCTTCTCACTGGGAGCGGTGGCTTGCCGCCCAAGGTGACCGGAGGAAGGGGAGCCTTCTTCCGCGACAGCGGCCGCAAGCGTGGCAAGCCGCCGCAAAGCGCGCGAGAGACGCCAGCCGGGCGCGAGGACGTCTTAGAGGGTGATGCCCGTGGAGGCGCCAGGCGCGCGCCGCCACCGCAGCAGCACAAGCCGCACGCGAGACGACACTGCGCCGCAATCGCTGCGCCACTTTGGCCATTGGGCCAAGGATCGTCGACAACCACGACGCGGCCAAGCCCACGTCGCCTGGTGGAGGAGGAGCGGCTCGTTCATGGCACATGCCAAGATCGAAGCTACCTCCGGCCGCACCCGCCGCGGCTCTCCTCCACCTTGACGAGCCAAAAGCACACGCCCTCCTCGGCGACAGCTCGCAACGACAAGATCGACGGGTGGTGCCTCGACACCGCGCCACCCATCACATGACCGGTCGACGGAGTTCTTCACCGAGCTTGACTCTAGCGTCCGAGGCTCCGTCAAGTTTGGGGATGCCTCCGCATGGAGATCAAGGCGTCGGCTCCGCCATCTTCACCATCAGTGTCTGGTGAGCACAGTGTACGCTCACCGGAGTCTACTACATCCCCGCGTTGAGGAACTCCATCATCGCCTTGGGGACGGTGGATGAGAACGGTTCGCGCGTGGTGGTTGAGGACGGAGTCATGAGGATTTGGGATCGTCGTCGTCGCCTTCTTGCCAAGGTATCCGAAGCTCAAATCGACTCTCACGCCCTTAACGTGCGGTGGCACAACCCTCTCGTCTCGGCGCGCTCGTCGGGACGACGAGGCGTGGCAGTGGCACGAGCATTTCGGGCACCTTCACTTTGAGGCCCTGAAGCGGCTCAGTGCCACGGAGATGGTGCGAGGCCTACCATGCCTCGACCATGTGGAGCAGCTCTATGACGCGTCTGCGTGTTGACGAAGCGGGCGCTCCCCTTCCACAAATGGCTAGCTTTGAGCCAAGGAGAGGCTCGAGCTTGTGCACGGGACTTGTGTGGCCCGGTGACACCGCCACACCGGAGAGACGACGCTACTTCCTGCGCTCGTCGACGACCTCTCCCGCTACATGTGGGTGATGGTCCTCGGCGACAAGGAGAGGGTCATGCGGACGCCATCGGTATGTAGTCGCTTCGCTGGAGGAGGCGAGCGCGTCCAGCAAGCTACGCGTCGTCTTCGCAAGACCGACAACGGCGGCGAATTCACGGCGGCCGATTCAGCGTCGTCTTCACAATGACGAGGGCATTCAGCGCCACTACTCCGCTACCGTCTGACCCGCGCAGAACAGCGTCGTCGTCGAGCGCGCAACCAGACGGGTTGTGGGGATGGCTTGGGCCCTCCTCAAGCGAGGGGATGCCGTCGTCTTCCGGGAGAGGCGGTGGTGACGGCCGTCTACATCCTCAACCGCTTCGCCTACCAAAGGCGCTCGGCACGGCGGGCCGTCTGACGAGGCTTGGCATGGGCGCAAGCCGGCGGTCTCCCCCTGCGGGTCTTGGTACGCCTCGCGTTAAGCCAAGGAGCTTGGCCACATCGCCAAGCTCGACAGCAGGAGCACTCGGAGTGTTCATCGGCTCGCGGAGGAGGCTCGAAGCCCTACCGCATCCTCGACCAAGACACGGCGTGTAGCGCATGGCAGCGCGGCGTTATGTTCGACGAAGGGCGAGGATGGGCGTGGGACAAGGCGGTGGACGATGGCTCGGCTCCGACGTACGACGACTTCACTGTCGAAAGTACGTCCACTTCGAGGGAGCTGGGGGAGTAGGTAGCTCTTCTTCGCCGAAGCGTCTACCCCATCCCCGAGCCTCCACCGACCCCGGCGCTGCTACTCCCGGACAAAGACCACGCTCTCCGGCCGGGACCTCGGCTGCGATGAGTTCTTCGCCGCTCCACCACGGCCGCAACGCCACGCACTCCAACATCGACAAGCACCTCTCCGGGCACGCCTACTCCGGCTGGTGTCGAGCACCCCGATTGAGCTCGCTTCTCCGCTCTCTCACGACGAGGAGCGCGATCGACGCGGCATCACGACGGCGGCGAGCCATTGCGGTACCGTCACGATGGAGAACCTTCTCGGTGACCGGTAGGTCTTGCGGGACGGTGCCTCACGACACGGAGGCGCGATTGCACCTTGCGTGTGATTTACGGCGAGCCTCGGTCGTATCAGAGGTCGAGAGACACGCGCATGGCGCCACCGCGATGCGATTGGAGATGGATGCGATTGAGAAGAACCGCACCTAGGAGCTTGCGACCTTCCCTCGTGGTCACCGCGCGATCACCCTTAAGTGGGTGTACAAGTCAAGAGGGATGAAGCCGGTGCCATCGTCAAGCACAAGGCTCGCTTGGTGGCACGAGGTTTCGTGTGCGGCGGAGAGGGTCGACTTCGACGACGCCTTTGCTCCGTGCGGGCGGATGGAGTCCATCGACTCCTCCTTGCGCTTAGCGCCTGGGAGAGGTCGGCGTGTTCATCACATGGACGTCAAGTCGGCGTTCATAACGGCGACTTGAAGGAAGGTCTCGTGCACCAACCGCCGGGATTTGCGATCCCGGCAAGGAGGGCAGAAGTCTTTGCGCTGCGCAAAGGCCCTCTATGGCTGCGGCGGCGCATCGAGGCGTGGAATGCCAAGTTGGATTCCACGCTAAAGGGGATGGGCTTGAGCAAAGCCCGCGACGAGGCGACCATCTACCGGCGGGCGGTGGAGGAACCGCTTCTGCTTGTGGGGGTGTCTCGTCGACGACTTGGTGATCACCGGCACCCAAGGATGCGGAGGTGGCGGCATTCAAGGAAGAGATGAAGGCCACCTTCCATATGAGTGACACAGGGGCCTCTCTCCTTCTATTTGGGCATCGAGGTGCACCGTAATGACTCGGGATCACACTTGACGCATCCGCCTCGCCAAGCGCGTCGTTGAGCTAGCGGGGCTCACCGATCGCAACCCGCTCTCACTCCAATGGAGAAGAGGTCAAGTCGAGCCGCGACAAAGACGACGACGGAGGAGGTGGGCGCTTCTGCAGATCTGCGGCGTCTTGTGGGGAGCCTTCGCTACCTCGCCCCACACGGCCGGGACTTGGCATTCTCCGTCGGCTACATTAGTCGGTTCATGCAATGACCGACGACGGAGCACCAAAGAAGTCATGAAGAGGATCATCCGCTATGTTGCGGGGACTCTCGACCACGGCCTCTACTACCCGAGGTGCCCCAGGCGGCACACTTCGTCGTCGAATGCAATGACAATGACCACGCCGGCGACATCGACACCGGCAAAGAGCACGAAGCGGGATCATCTTCTTCCTCGGCAAGTGCCTCGTTAGTGGCGCGTCGGTCAAGCAACAGGTGGTGGCCTGTCCACCGCGAGGCCGAGTACATAGCGGCCTCCACCGCTTCGACTCAAAGCGCTCTGGCTCGCTTCGATTGCTTGGTGATCTCCTCGGCGAGAGACACTAGAGCGGTGGAGCTCGGGTGTGACAAAGAAGTCCGCTCTGCCCCAACAAAGAACCCCGTGTTCCACGAAACGCAAAGAAGCACATCCGGGTGAGGTACCACTTCATCCGAGGTCATTTGGAGGAAGGGAGCATCAAGGCGAGTTACATCAACACCAAGGACCAGCTTGCGGACCTGCTCACCAAGCCCCTTGGGAGGATCAAGTTCCTTGAGCTCTGCTCCAAGACCGGATGGTTCAACTCTCCCACAAGACGCACGCACAAGACTTAGGGGAGAATGATGGATAAGTCTCATGTGTGGTCTTTGTGGGGTCAGTCTCTTGCTCACATGGTCCTTGTGGCTGTTTTTTACATTTTTAGGACAACATCTTAGACTAGAGGACAATGAGGACAACATCTTAGAGGACAACATCTTAGACTAGAGAACAAACATCTTAGCTAGGACAGCATATTAGCATCTTAGACTAGCATCTTAGACTAGCATCTTGGCATATGCTTGGTGGCTAGCAACCTATAAATATGTAACCCCAACCCCTCAAAGTTGGTATGGCATTTGTGTGAGTTTGTATGAGAAATAGACAAGAAAATTGCCCCAACTCCTAGTGTCATCCTCTCTCAATGAGTAAGAATTCTCCTACTACCAAGAGTGAGAATTCAGCGACTAACACACACGTCACACAACATTAGCTGTCCCACTAACTTCGCCACGTTAAGTACAAACTGCTTTTGACCATTATTATACTTCCCCACAATTTTTTTTTTTTTTTGAGAATTACTTCCCCACAATTATAGGCAGCTATAAGATGCATGTTTCAGTAAGTTACACCGATAATAAATTAACATAGTAAGAAAATAGTTGCGGAAGATAGAATCTTACCATTAGGTCAGGCAGTGGCATTTTGACTTTGGTAAGCATGATTCCACAATTGTTAGCCCGGCGAAGATCAATCTGCGATAGAGAACACATTGGATGAGAAGAAGTAAGCATGAACAATGAGGCACAGTGGTGGAGCTTGAGGATAAATACAGAGGGAGCCAAACATGAGAGTATACATAGTTTAGGGAGTGTTAGGGTGGCCATTATAAAGCTTCATTAACAGAATATACATAAATATTATAACATCCTCTATAGAATTGCAAAAATGAGGGGGGGGGCATGGCCCACTATGGCCCCAATGAAGCTCCACCCCTGATGAGGCGTAAAGATTAAATAGTAGATACAGATGCCTACAATGGCATGCCAACAAACCAAGATGAAACGGGCAGAAGGGAAAAGAAAAACATAAGAGCAAAACAGCCACACGATAAACTGTTTTTTTTACAACACACAATAAACTGTTAAGTATCTTATGTAACGACTATGTGAATCTGGTACAAGCACTTTCAACTATTGAACTGATAAAATGTTGAAATACTAGATTTTAGGAGATGGCAGGAAAAAGGGACTTCAAAGGATGGCATATACCAAGAGAACTGTCCTTGGATACGTATACACATCTTTGTACAATGTAATACTGGTAGCAGGAGTAATCGGTATGAACTCTAATGCACGTGACCAGGACAATAGAAACAAGGGGAAAGGGATATGTCCTACCATAGTTCGTACAAGAAAAAAGAAACAGGTGTAAGTGCTAAGGAGTACTAATGTCCGTGTTCAACTAAAATAGTACTCCTATCCCAAAATATAAGGCGCACACGTACTTTGATATTCAAAATTCACTATGTTTGACCAATAATTAGTCTAATGATCATATGAAAAGTTTGTGCTACAAAAATAGGTAGTTTATATCTGTATTTAGAAACACTTTGTAATGTCAAAGTGTGATATTGAAGACCACACCAAATCAAAGCACACTTATATTTTGGGATGGAGTAACATATATTGCAGGAAGTGATCTTCACTAGTTACCATAAAAACTGGAGTGGAATGTGCACGACACAAAAGAAGATCAGGGCAATTGCACACTAGTTAAAGAAACTGGAGTGCAGAGAAATGCTATGATGGTAAAACAACTCACAAGATGAATTTTTTCTGGTTTCGACCCTGATGCACGACTGCCTGACTTTTCTGTACGCCTTGAATCTGAACTTGGCAGTACAGCTGAGAAAAGATTTTCTAGTTCTGACATATCGAACACAGGGGCTCTGTGCAGGTCACCCAAAAGACACATTAGTATGAAAATCCCAATTCATATGATCATTAACAAGTTTATTCAAGGTGCCAGTGAGGTACTTTAAAGTTTCGTCAGGCTTCTGTGACTCCGCCCACAGACTACCATGCATTGCTCTTGTTACTTTCACCCAATGAAGTGGCTTCAAATTTGACCTTCTGGACACAGCCTGGCCAGATTGAAAGTTCTTTGACATTGGACCTGCAGGAGGTGCAGGTCCACGCCCCTGTGGACCAAACAGTTTAGCATTACCGCCAGGAGGTGCTGGCGGGGGTACAATGTTACCAGAAGCTCCATGGGAGGGTGGTGGTGGAACAGGAGGTGATGGCATCGATTTGCCCATGGGGCTGGATGATTGTTTTGATGAATAGCATGGTGGAGGGGGTGGAGGTGGACTGGAGGTTGTTCCAGGTGGTGGAGGCGGAGGCGGTGCTGAAGCTCTGATAGGTGATAATGTTGGGGCAGGTGGTGGAGGGGGTGCAGCAGGCCTAACAGGAGATGAAGTAGATGCAAATAGAGGCAAAGGTGGTGCAGCAGGAGTAACAGTAGATGAAGTAGAAGCAAGTAGTGGAGGTGGTGGTGGTGCAGGAGGTCTACTGAGAGAGCACCCAGGTAGCAGTGGGGGAGGTGGGAATTGAGGTGGCCCTGACAGTTTAAGAGATGAACTTGAAGCAGGTGGTTGAGGTGTCAGCGGTTGTGGTGCATGAGCCCTAACAGGAGAAGGCCTAGGCACGGGTGGAGGCGGGGGTGGCACGGGTGGTGATTGTGGTGCAGCTGGTGCTGGAGGTCTGAATGAAATTGGAGTGACAGACAGAGAATATGGAGGCATATGATAAATACTTGAAGAACTAGAAAATGATGATGGCGGGGGCAGTGGGGGCGTCGGTGGAGCAGAAGTTGGCAACGATTCAATTGTGACACTAGTTGAGGATTTCTGATGATGTGTGGACAGAGTAGTAGTTCCAAGTAACTGAAATGCCGATCGTCTCTCTGGATGAGATGGAAGGCCTACGACATGGAAACAGTTTAATTATAAAAAGAAAAAATACAAGAAAAAAAAGTATTCTTAAAATGCATTACGACTTAACCTGAATTGTTGAGGGTAGGTTGAGATGAGTCTTTTGCTTCTGAAATCATAATAGAATCTGATACCAGCAAATCTAGTGGCGAGGGTGGAGGGGGTGGTGGTGGCATACCCTTTGTTACAACAGGAGTACCTGTCACATCCAAAGGTCAAAGTATTAAAATAAGGATTGTGGTAACATGACTACATGAGGAATTGAGGATATGCATACAATACAAAAGAGTATCAATTAAGCTACACCTGTTGTTGGATGCTGTCCTGATGGTCGTTTTGATGTAATTTGGATTACACCAGTAGAAAGATTTGATACTGTGGTCGAGGTTACAGTTGAACCACAACAATTCTCAGCACTTCCAGCATGGTCTTCCAACAGAGCTGTAATTCCAAGGGCTGAAGGCGCGCTATTAAATCTTGGACAAGCTGAAAGTGATCTAGGACTGGAGTAGCCAGAAAGAGCAGAGCATGAACTAGAAATTGGAAATCGCTGTGACATAATTATAGTACGTGAAGAGCGTTGACCTGAACCATGTTGCTCATCAAGTTTAGCATTTTGATCCTTATGAACTGGTTCAATAGATTTCATGGTAGAGGGAACAGCCTTTTCTAGTGAAATTGACTGTTCGGCGTTACTGTCAACCTTGTGAACTAGAGAGCCTAGATTTTCTTGGACAACAGAAATTCCAGTTTTGACTTCAGAATTAGTGGCTTGCTCCAACAAGATCAATGTCTGTCGACCAACACTTTCCAGTTTGTTCACACAGACTGTGGCGTCTTCAACTTTGCTTGGTTCTTGTTGAACATTGTCATAATGCTTGTTGATTGGAGAGATTGAACCAAGCTCTAATGATTCTGCTTCTTTCTTACTTGGAGACAAGAATCCTTGCCTCAGCTGAATATTTTCTGACGAAGTAAGTCGCTGGAAAAGCTGGACTGCAGCATCCCCTGTCGGATCTAGCCAGTCCACATTGCTGAACATCTCTTGAACCTTTGCAAATGCTTCAATCGGTAAACCCCCCTTCTCTCCTATACCTGCCACCTCCATGGGACCTAACTGATTGGCAGTGTCCACTTCTGAAAGAAGAACCTTTAACCAGAGAACAAAACAAATTATAAACTTTTGCATAACTTCTAGATAGAAAAATCACTGATTCACTGCAACAAATACATACCTCAGCTCTGAATTCCTTTGGGAATCGATCTTTGGCATCCCACAATATATCGATTTCATCACGGTTTAACATCAGAATGTTAGATCTGATAAAGGCTGTATTGAACATGACTCGGAACATCATCTCTTCTCGTTCTTGATCAGCATCAAGGCTAATGCATTCAAGGACAACATCACCTTGAATATGGCAGTGGATGTCAATCTTAATCAGTTCACAGTCTGCCTGGGTAACAGAAGTAAACTTCAATGACTATTACAACTCGAGAGAGAGCCATGGCATGCCATATGAGAAAATCTAAAGAATATAATTCAGCAACTTTATGTGTTCTCACTCTGCATGCCAGATACAAAACAATGAATTTGCCAGTTCTGGAAGCAGAAAGTGGTAAAAAAAACTAACCTTCTTGTAAAGCCTAACGTATTTGCTCCTTTTTGGTGTTGCAAATAGCACCTTAGGTGTGTTACTTGTAGCAAGTAAAGGATCTTGTCCATAAATACGGAATATTGGTCTACATCCTCCCTCTTCATTAAAGCCTGGAATGTTTCTTAGTATCACACAGTCTAAAGTAAGGGCCCGGTCCTGAGGTGGCCACTCTGAGCTCACGTTCCTCCGAGATATATAATGTAAGTACCTTATCTGAGAAGGCATAGGATTCAATGGTGACAACAACTGAACCAGCTCACGAGGAGCTTGCCTGTAAATCATTTCCAGTGTCCTCTGCTCACCAATAAACTGCTTTCTGTACAACAGCAATCCTGCTAACATGAATGCAAGTACAGCCCAGCCACCACGCTCACAATGCATTATTAAGACATTTTGCTGGCCCAAAGAGAGCCAACTCTCCCCTGACCTCAAGTAATGATGAATCATTTCTATTGTAAGTAGTGGGCATCCCTCGTATTGTCTGGGGTAGTCCATAACTACCATATCATAGCTTGATAATATATTCGCCAGTAAACTTTGACTGTCTCCATCCCGAAAGTTGAAGACCATAAATGAAGCATCAGCGAAGTGGCTCCGAAGTTGTGCAACAATGTCACGAATATAATCCCGGTACTTATCATCATCGAAGACATCAGTTGTGAAGCAAGAATCAAACACTACAAATGCACAAGATAGGGACAAGAAACATTTTAGTAGGAAGCCAATAAAACTTCACCAAATGAATTTTTGAAATCAAGTCTTGTAACACCATCTGCACAAATCTCAGCGCATTTTGGAGGGCTAATGTGCTGGATCTACTAACATGTACGAGTGGATTTGTATTTTCCCCATAAATCTTGACACGAGAATAGGAGACGATAACATTCATAAAACAAAGGAATATAGTGGAGAGCAACAAAATATAATCCAGATGTTCCACAGTATACTTTGCAAATTATAAACTTCAAAAAGAAACAAAATGCACGCATCACAAGCCATTGCTATGTTTAATAATACTTTAACCAACAAAATCAGCTGCAATGACTAGCTGCAATTTGCTTTAGAAAAAAGTATATAACAGTACACTAAATATAACTGGGCTTCTCTCTGTATTCCTTTTTCACAGTGAAGTTTTGCTAGTCACAAGCTTGTTGAACATAAAAGGGCTAGTTAGTAAGCCATACAAAAATGGACATACCAACATTTTACTGATTGTTACAATTAGCAGGCCCTGACTCATGTTCTATTCTAGTACTCCACCAAAGTCAAGAGCACCAAATCTGTAGTGCCCTTCTTGGAAACTTTATTTCTTTTTGTGTGCAATTCTTATTGTTCGTCCCTGTGACATCTGTGACAAGTGAGTGATGCATCTTAATTAGAATAAGTAATTTTTTATTTCAAATCATACACATTTATTCCATGTCAAATTATCTGAAGTTGTCAGGTTGGACTTCATTGCCACAAAATTTCAGAAAGATGGACTTGTCTCAAAAGCCTACATTATCTCCTACAGGATACAAGTTTTGGTTACACAAAAACTTTCCATGTGCCCAAATGTGTCTAAAATGAAAATAAATGTATGTGACTGTCTTTGAGACCACAGGCCTGCCTCGATACAAGATTCGGGTCCACCTCATCATGGTCAGTCACAAGACTGAATGGTAAAGCTTTCTCATGAGACACAGGAAACCACTTGTGCTGCAACAATGACGGAATAGTAAACAAAGACACCTTGCAGACCACTCTTACTAAGTAACAAATGGACAGAATTCATTCCATAACAAATTCTAATCCAACAGTATCACTTGTCAGATGTTTCATCAACTCCGGAAAGGCATGTTAGGTTGGCAAATTGGGTAGCTGCCCCGCCCCCACAAATTAGACTTTATTAGGTCATCACTTTGAGATCCATCAACCCCATAGGGTCAAGTGAACCTACCCACCCCTCTATCACACTCTGCCCATCAGTTCCTTTGCGCCGGCACCACCTCATCCTCCAGTTCCACACCACAGCCTTTCATACCTATCTCTCTCAAGCAGATCAGTGTCTGCATGTGGTGGTGGAGCACCCCGACAAGCGGCAGATGGTTGCAGCCATGAAGATCCTAGAGGAGCTGCAGTGGGCACATAGAGCTAGATACTGCAGTGTGTGGCAATTGCGCACAGTGCGTGGAGCACCCTCGACAAGCGGTAGATGGGTGCAGGGACAAAACACCTGGCCATGCTGCAGATCGGCGTGTGGTTGTGTTGGTGCACACAGCTCACAGCTCCAAGTGCTACTCAGTAATTTACTGAGCAGCAGAGCAGCACTGTTTGATACATCTCTTATCTCTCTAATTTTCTCTCATCAATTTAACTAGGTTTCAATGATTGCGCAATTTAAATGGGATTGTGAAGCATTTGATTATTCAGTCTTTAATCTACTTTGCATGGAGCACAGGGCTGCAAGGTGATGCCAGGCACCACACCAGCTCCGCCTCTTGTATGAATGCTCAACCCATAATATCCACTCGGGCATCGAGTCAAACAAGTTAATGTAAATGGATTGAATGGTGCTCCTATGCACAGTGCATGGATCGCTCCATGGTTGAACCATGCCCATCCTTGAGCAGTTAGGCCAGTCTCAGTGGGGGTTTCGTGACCCAATTTCCAAGGCTCCCATGTGTTGGAAACATTGTGGACTGGTTTCATTCCCATGAAACTTTGTTCTTCTCTCTCTTCATCAACATTGTGCCATGTCAGCATATTTGCTAAATTGTTAACTTATTTAATGCTCATGAAACTCTCATGACAGCCCCCACTGAGACTGGCCTTAGCAATCCAAAACAAAAGAAGTAATGCCTGGTAGGCTAACCTCAATACACTCAACCATATTGCGCGTGGCAACACAGGAGGCAATGCAACTAACAACACTGTAGACAAACAGTTGTTTCAGTACAGTGTCCTCCAGAGCAATTCGGAAACTATGGCTTAGAAGGTAAAAATTCTGACTCTATAACAGCACGTCCGCTGAAGTAGTGTTGCTAAAGGTCGATTGTCGCTGAAATTTCCTCAGTCTGATCTCAACACAGACTCTCACCAGAAGGAAGTGAAAGACATTTGCACGACAAACCAATGAGGGGGGAAAACAAACACCGAAACATTTCTAGTAACGCCGCATTGCCACGACACATTTACCACGGCATTTGATAATGGAAACGCATATCAGACCACCACACAGAGAGCATTCCCCTGCGAAATAGACACTGGCATTGACAAGGTGGGGGGATTGGACGGGGTAAACGCACCATAGACGCGTTCGGTGATCTCAAGGAGCCCGTCGGGCGGCTTGCGGTAGAAGAACTTGCGGAAGAGCGCCATGCCGCGTCTCCCGGATCCGCCACCCGCGGGGCCCTACCACCACGAGCCTCGTCGCGCCGACAATGCCATGGATCCCCGTCCTGGCACAACGCGCGGCACAACACGATGCGGGGTTGCCACCGCGTGAAGGTAAAGGAATCGCGAATGCAGGTGCACGCGGGTCTGGCGCCTGTGGCTGGCGCACGACGTTGCTTCGACCCAGCGCTAGGGTTTGCAGCCTTCCGCCCCTTGTCCTCTTCTTCGCCTCCCCTGCCTTTGGTGTGAAGAGGAACGGAGAGAGTTTTTTTTGTGTGTGCGCGCGCTTCTTTAATGGTGTTTTAGGTGGGGCGTTTGATCTTTCGGAGTGAGCTAGATTGGGCGAGATGGCGTTTGTTGCCTTGTGTGCCTGTTGCACTCGAGATGAAGGCGACGCAGCTGTCCTTTTCCCATTTCACTTTTCATTTTTTTTCCAGTGTGCTGCAACGTGGCAGTTTATCGTAATAAGTGTCCAGGGGAAGCGACTTTCGGGCCATTCGCTGAAATTTGGCTTAAGCGTATGCTTGTACTAACGAAAAAGTCTACTTAATCTCCCACCTTTCATATATAGTCTACTTCACCCTTCAACTATGAAACCGTCTGTTTTACCCCTTGAACTTTCCAAAACCATCTATTTTACCCCCCGGCGGTTTTTGACAGCGGGTTTGCTACAATACCGGTGGGTTTGAATTTCCTTTTTTATTTATTTTCGGTGAATTTTTGAAAAATCATAAAATAAAAAATCTAATTTTATTAGACTCCACATGAGTAGATCTACACAGTGAATATATAATACGGTATGCTTTAGTACAAAATTTTTATTGTAGCCTTAGATTAATTGGAAAATCTAATTTTGTCTATAATTAATTAGAATAATTCATAGCTGTAGCTTCTATGGTCCAATTGTGGTGAAATTTTTATGGTACGCTAATTATTGTATGCTTGAACTATAGTAAAATTTTCGTACTCATTGGACTATGTATAACTTAGTTATAGATAAATTCTAATTAATTACAGAAAAAATTAGATTTTCCAATTAATCTAAAGCTACAAAAAAAATTTGTACTAAAGCATACCGTATTATATATTCACTGTGTAGATCTACTCATGTGGAGTCCAATAAAATTAGATTTTTCATTTTATGATTTTTCTATGATTTACTATGATTTTTCAAAAATTCACCAAAAATAAATAAAAAAAAATTTCAAACCCACTGGTACCGTAGCAAACCCACCGTATTGTAGCAAACCCGCTCTTACTGTAGCAAAACCGCTGTCAAAAAACCGCCCGGGGGATAAAATAGACGGTTTTGGAAAGTTCAGGGGGTAAAACAGACGGTTTCATAGTTGGGGGTGAAGTAGACCATGTATGAAAGGTGGAGAGTTAAGTAGACTTTTTCCCTTATACTAATTTATTATAAGAGAAAAACATTATCTATTCATTAAAAGGTAAGCGAACAGACCCCTGCTTTGGCTACACTCTGTCTACTCGCTCTGGTTCGCTGACATGGTGGGCTAGGGTTGGTATTCACTAGCAATAGCCATCCCACGTCTAATATCGAGGTTTTAAATCTCCGGCTAAAGATATTTAGCGGATTACCTCTATAACAGCTATAGTTGAGGCTAAACGGGGAGACTAAATGAGGCTATAACAGACTATAGCCACTAAGTTCTATTTAAACACAAATAGCTTGATCGGCCTCAAACAGCCATAGCTGGAGATTTAAAACCTTACTAATTATGCAGCTCTCCAACCTCGTCACTTAGACCCTGTTTGATCCCTGCAGATAATAATTATCTATTAATAATTATTTCTTTTAGATCCATACAAATATAAATAACTAGGTGATTCCTCGCGGCGGAAATTCCTAAAGAACACATGCTGGTCCGTACATGAAATGCAAGAAATAGAGACCAATATTGCTTAATTGTGTAAATCATAGTTTGGATATAATAATCATATTATGTTGCTGCAGAAATTGAAGGAATAATTTTGACAAAGGTAAAGAATCGGCTTATTTGGTTAAAGAACATGTAGTACTATGTGTTGCCAAAACTGAAATCGCATTGGAAGGAATGCATAGAAGTGTTTTTTTTAGTGAAATGCATATAAGTGTTTTTTTTGCTTTAAAAATGCAAAGAGCTGTCATATCCTCTCTGCTCTGGCTTGGTTTGGCTCTCTCCTGGATGCTTGTAGTTGTAGTACCTGGGCGAATAAAGTGTTGTGCAGCGTTATCCTACTTTTTTAAAGAAGCAATTTGGCATGTACTTGCAATAGAAAATAATCAACTTATTTGATTAGAGAGCACGTAGTGAGGGCTTGTTTAGCACACCTTAGCTTCACTAATAAAGCTAATTTTTTAAAAACAGTTTCATGAGCAAAGTTGAGCTGTTTTGGAAAAACTGTTTGACGAAACAGCTTCACCAGCAGCTTCGTGCATGGATGGGAGAGAGAAATGAGGGAGAGAGCTAAAATAAGATAAGTGTTTGGTAAATAAAATAGCTCACAACAGGTCATGAAACTATCGTGAGCTTTGCTAAACGTGCCCTAATAATGTGTTACCAAAATCGAATTTGCCAAAAGTAGAAGCAATACAGGAGTGCTGTCAAATAGCTTTCAAAAAGTGCTGCAAATTCCGATGTGAGTATACTCAGCCGGACACTATACCATACAGGTGGTACACATATCATGCATATGTGCACACTAAGGGCCTGTTCGGTATTGAAAATAAGTCAAAATACTTGTTTCGGCTGATTGTTGTGAGGAAAAATACTGTTTTATCTAAAAACACTGTTTACGTAAACAGTGCCACTGTGAGAGCGCTGACCAGACTAGCCGCAGCTGGAGCCGAACGCGGATATAACTCGAGTTGCTCACAGTCACAGATCAGGGCAGATGGTGATCGAAGGGAATCGGTTGTTTGCTGCTGAAAGATGAGAAGACAGTAGGCGCTAACAATGCCAGTGCTTCTCGTCGACGTCGGATCGCTACGGCCATGCACATAGGGATGGCCGGACAGTCTTGGTTGGAGAGTGAGGAGATGATCGAACCCGGCCTTGTTGGTGCATCCATGCCCATCTCGATGCATGCAACAGCCGCTTGGTGTAACCGCTAGCTTGCATTTGCTGAAGGTAATAGAAACATATCAACATGTTCGCATGTTCGCTTGATCGTGTTTAATTTATAAGTCGTATTTTTTCAGTCAGCGAACAGTATTTTTCTCTCACACTAAATCAAACAACAGTACTTTTATCCATGACTTATCAGCCAAATTAATAATACAATGTAAGAAAACTAACAATTAAAGTATATAAATAATAATACAATGTAAGATAAATTAACGGCTAAAGTATATAAATAATAATATAATGCAAAATACAATGTAAGATAAATTCACCTCAGCGAGGGTTGACCTACGGTGAGGGCGTCTGTGGCGCGGCGGGTAGCCGCCGTGCATGGCCGGGCGCTTGCGAGGTGTGGCGTCGGCGTCTCGCGGACGTGGCGGCGCGCGCGACCGGCACCGGCCGGTCACCGCCGGCAGCGGCCGTGGCGCGCTTTTGTTTGTGTACTGGCCCGGCACGTCGGGCACGTCGGCGTCAAAGTGGCGCTAGCGCGGCGGTCGACGGCGGCAGGCGTTGACGGCGGTGGCGGTGTGGGCGCGGCGGCGGCGGCTTTGCGGGTGCGGAGGGCAGGAAGGACGGAGGGCGGGCGGCTCGCGGGCAGGCGGGCGGGAGGCCGGCTCGCGGGCGACATTTAACTAGTCCTGCCGCGCCATGCGCCGTGGCACGTCAGTGCCGCGCCAAGATCGGTGGCACGGCAGACCCTGCCACGTCACCGGTCAGCGGCCAGGTTGTTGCCACGTCACCCCTCTCGCCGTGCCACCATGCATGTCGTGGCACAGGCGTTTCGCCGCGCCATGACAATAAACGCGCCAAAAGTGTTAATTTTGGAAAAAAATAAATAAACTGGATCTGCGAGGGTATGACCACCCTAGGCATTGCATTAAGAAGAAGACATTCTCACGTAGGCCCAGAAAACCCCTGAACCCCTGTCCTACCCTTACACAGCGGCACCGTCGCCCTGTGCGAACAGACCGGTCCTTAGACCTGTGCTTTGACATGGGACATACGTTAGATTTAAAATTGGTTTAAAAAAATATTAAAAATAAAAAAAATCCCCAAGGAAGCATCGCTATAGCGTCTGGACAATATATATAGGGTAGCTATTAATATGATAGTGGTGGGACATGAAGAGGAAACGGCAGGGATTACGATGATTCATGTACGACGTTGATTGCTTGGCTATGAAGCTAGTGGAAGACATGACGAATTATTGAAGACTAGTGGAATGCGCGCGCCCTTGCGCGCGTCGGGTGTATGTGCTGTAAATAGAAAACATGTCTTGGCAATGTTTACAACTGTCTTATCTTCTCTCCATACAACCTCAAAGACAACATGAATCATCAGATCGATATTTCACAATTCATTAAGGCCCAACTACAGCTTCGGAACGAAGCAAAGTAAATGTGGTCATTATGTGAACCTAAGGTAACAAATGCAGTGTCTCAACTAATTTCAAAGTTACACATTCATGTACAATTATCATGTGCTAGATTCATGATCCAAAGAGTCCTTAGAATTTAATCCCATACAAATCCGGACCAACGAAAACGGGTTTGTAGATGTTGGCGTTTGGTTGTTTTTATGCACTTTATTCACATGTAAAGGAGCACATATTCGGTAGGAAACAAAAGCAGAGAATGGGGGTTCAGAGGACCAAATGAAGTGGAATCTTTGAAGAGACAGAGCACACGCCTATACATTTGTGTGCAAGAGAAACATACCTATTGAAGTGGCATAGATGAAGGCCGGAGCCACACAGGCACCTAGGATGTGGAAACAAAATGTCAATCAATCTGAAATCAACAGGGAAAATGGTTGTTTGAAACATTAAGTTTGGATCTATCTCATCAATAAAAAATACTT